GATGTATAGGGTTCAGGGTTTAGGGTTTAGGGTTTAGGGTTTAGGGTTTAGGGTTTAGGGGTTTAGGGGTTTAGGGGTTTAGGGTTTAGGGTTTAGGGGCTTTTGGATGTAGCGCTTGGTTTTTCTGACCTGGGGATTTGCGTCGATGCTCTTGACACACGCAGGGTCCGAAGTACCTATACATGGTTAGTGGAGTATTCGCCACCATAAAGGTACTTCGGACCTGTTGGGACAGGCCAAAAAAAACACAAACTCGATGTCGCGATGTTTTTCAGTTTCAGCACCCTGAGACTTTGTCGCTCTCTTTTGGTGCTGATTTGCGAGCTGTGCTGGACAACACTAAACTCTAAACCCCAATTAAACCCTACACCCTAAACCCCTAATTAAACCCTAAACCCTCAATTAAACCCTAAACCCTCTACCCTAAAGCCAGCGCTCCTCCCTATCCGCCTGAGCAGATTTCTCAGCCATGCAGGAGCCTATGTGATCCGACACGTGTATACGTAGGTTTGTGTAAGCTACACTGTGGTACCGCCTGTGGACCCGTGCAGGGCAACATAGGATGATACAAGTAGCATCCGAACAACGAGAAACGACAACTGCCTGCTTGAAGCCTTATTCCCGAATCCCTAAACCCAAAAAGACCCCACCCCAATCGTTCCGGGTCTCATAGGGCTCAGGGTTCAGGTTTGTCGTATGAGCTAACTCTAGGCCCCAAGCCCTGACAACGCTGTGCCCGAGCCATCAAACGCATGCGAGTTTGCTAGATCCTAGCATAGGGTCCTTAATAATTACCTATATATTTTTGGGTGGTTCCTTATTATAGTAGAATATACCCCAAACCCTGTTCTAATTATCAAGGCCCCTACATTATAGATCCACAATGTCCAAACCTCGCAGAATCTCAGTTCTCTTAGCCTCGGGGGTCCAAACCAATAGTCTCTAAGGGCTTTAGGAGGGACCCCTAATAGGGACCCTTAATCCCACTACCTTAAATAACCATTGCATGTCCTTTTATACCGCTTATACAGCCAGGTAGTCTCCGTATTAACCCCAACAACCTACAAGGGTCCCTCCTAAAGCCCCCAAACCCTAAACCCTAAACCCCAAACCAATAGTCAAGTACTTCGGTTGCGGATCAGTTCTATGTAGGCTGCTCTTTGGGAGACTTTGTTTGATGATTCGGCTAGGTGCAAAAATCCCAAACCCTATACCCCTAAACCCTATAACCCCTAAACCCTATATCCCTAATTAACCCCTAAACCATTAAATCCCTAAACCCCTAAACCCTAAAACCCTAATCCCTAAACCCCTAAACACCTGAACCCCTAAACCCCTAAACCCCTAAACCCCTGAACCCCTGAACCCCTAAACCCTACACCCCTAAACCCTAACTTGCGGAACCCCTAAACCCTAAGCCCCCAAACCCTAAACCCTGAACCCCTAAACCCTGAACCCCTAAACCCTGAACCCCTAAACCCCTGAACCCCTAAACCATATACCCGAAAACCCCTAAACCACTAAACCCTAAACCCCGAGCCCCTAAACCCTAAACCCCTAGCACACTGGCCATGCAGGCAGAATGGGCGTGGTATTGCTAGACCGGGGCCTTCGACAGATCCGAAAAAACTCAAAAGTGGTTTAGGGTTTAGGGTTTAAAGTTTAGGGTGTAGGGTTTAGAATTTACAGTTTAGGGTTTAGTGTTGAATAAACCAATGGTTGCAGCCAGTACCATAAAATAATTACCTATACTATTTTGGAGGGGTCTCCGTATTAGAATGATGGTACAATATACCCCAAAACCCTATTTTAATTACTAAGGCCCCTACATTATGTGCTCATTTCTCAAGCGCAGCAGTGTGCCAAACTTTAGCTTCGTGGTTTGTGTTATCATGGGCCACGCGTGGTTCGTGGCTTTCGTGCTGGCATTGGCTTCTGCCCAGGCAGTGAGGAACAGCGACTACGAGGTTGATACGGCCCTAAAGGACGACCAGGCGGGTGATGCGATCATGGAAGCCGAGCAGAAGATCAAAGATGTCATACAAGAGTTGGTCGACCGTCACCGAGCCAAGGGGGTCCTCGCAGAGATTGAAGAGTTAAAGCTAGCCCTCTTCGAGATGCTAGAGGAAGAGAAGAAAGCACGCGTCGAAGAGCACGGTGACATAGAGAAGAAGTACCAAGCCCTTGTCACGAAGGAGAAGGATGAACAACGCAAGGAAGCACTTCGGGCAAAAGGCAAAGAGGAGTATGATGCAATGCTGGTCCGTATGAAGGACTGGATCAATGCTAGGGATCCTTTATACTTTGTTGGGGTAAGGGATGTCTTTTTTCTGGTAAAAAGGATCCTTTGTTCTTGCTAGGGGAATGTGGCCAAGAGGAAGAAGTAAGCAAAATGGAGAAGCAGTTCGCGGACATGCTCGAGGAACTCGCCGATCTTGACTCCAGCGGCGCCAAGTACAAAGCATGCGGCTTCAACCTATGTCAAGGAGATACTCTCGAATGCTGCGAAGGGAAACTGGTCTGTTCAGCGGTATATGTTTTTTTGTTTTTTTACGTTTTGGTTTCTGGGTTCCGACTATCTTACCCATAGTTCACCCCAAGAAGTATGTAATTTTAATCTTCCCAAGGCTTCCTGACGGCCATGAAGAAGGCAAAGGGAAAGGTGGCTGGCTGTCGGCTGCTGGCAAGTATCTGTTCAGGCGGAGCTCCCACAGCTCCGAAAGCCCCCAGAGCTCCCGCTTGAACAAGCACTGCGCAGCGAATTGCTGATCCAGCATGGGTTTAGGGTTTAGGGTATGTAGAAACCCTAAACCCTAAAAAACCCTGAACCCTAAACCCTAAACCCTAAACCGTGGAACATAGGCCTTCAAAAGCTCTGGACAGACTTAGCGGTCTCTCGCCTCACGCCTCGAAATTCTGGGCTATGACACGTGCCAGCACTCGGGACAAAGGAGTTCGACGCATGTGCAACACATGAGTCGTCCTTTTTTGGGGGGATACTAGGGTACCAAATATAAAGTAAGAGTATATCCTCCTTCTGGGTATGGTGTTTTATACAAGGAATATAATCTTACTTGGTTCAACCACCCCAAAACGTGATAAGAGCCACGAGCTCGAATGCGGTTGTGCATCCCAAGACTATGCATAGCACCCTGACATCAGTACCACATGAAATAAAGACCAAAAAAGACAAGGAAACGACGGAACGACTTGCAATCAGGACCTACAAGACACGGCAGTCTGGCATGCTTATCCCAACAAGCCTGCGCTTCGTGTAGGTCAATTCTCTCCTCTGTTTGCTCTCCTGGCTCCCTCCTCTCCGCTTCTCTCCTCTGCATGAGACTTTAAAATCCACTTCCGACAGCGAAGCAAGTTGCGAATGAGAAGACGCAGGCGCGACGCGACGCAGGTTGCGTAGGCCGCGGGTGACGTTCGCAAGATTCTCCCTAAACCCTAAACCTTAAACCCTAAACCCTAAACTTTCAAAAAAGCATTTTCAAGCCCCAAAGCCTAGGGTTGGACGTGTACCAAGGCTGGCGGGGCCATTGTTGTTGCCAGCCCCGGGTCGGTGAGCTCAGTCTGGGGTAGCTGTTTAATGCGAGGCTTCGAGATTCAGGGTTTTAGGGTTTAGGGTTAAGGTGTTTAGGGTTTAAGTTTAGGGGTTTAGGGTTGGAGGTTTAAGATTATTGGGGTTTTGAGGTTCAGGGTTGTAGGGTTTATGTGTTTAGGGTTTGGGGCTTTAGGGCTTTAGGGTTTTTAGGGGTTTCGGGTTGGGGGTTTAGGGTCAGGGTGCCGGGCATCAGTTTTGGGATTGAGCTTGGGACTTGAGCATTCGGGGCTCTAATCCTGTGAAATCGACATAGCCCAACAGCTTCATATGGTCGTGTACGTGTGTCCAACAGCCTCGCAAAGGAGTCCTGAAGGGATACGGCTCCAGCGGATCTTAGTTTTAGGGCTGCCTTCTGGGATAGGGGCAGACCTTAAACCTTTAATACAGGGGCTTAAATAAATACCTACATTATTATGGGGGCTGCGTAGTATAATTATAGTATAACGAACCCCCAAAACTCTATTGCAATTCTTAAGGTCCCTACAGTAACCCTTAACCCTAAACCGTTCATTATTGTTGGCGCCTGGATTCTCAGCCTTCCGGTTAGGAAGGGCTGGGGCCTGCCATAAGCTTCGACGGACTATCCCACAGCTGGGGGTTGTTCCAAATCCTTTTAGGGTTTAGGGTTTAGGGTTTGGTGTTTAGGGTTTAGGGTTTAGGGGGTTTGTTCCAAATCCTTGATACGGTTGATGGACAAAATCCTGCATGACCTTATATACCTAAACTATTGGATTTATGGTACTATACTATACTTGGGTCATGCAGATTTTTGTCCATCAACAGTAAGACCCCTCTTAACATGAAGACCTGAATGCTTATAACAAGAGTATCATACCCGTGCTACGTTACCTCCATATCTCTATTCGATGGTGTGGTTGTGCTCGAGGGCTGCTCAAGCGGACGGTATTCCAAGTCATCAGAGCCCTTGCCTTTTGAGATTCGTCACCCAAATTCTGAGCTCTGGTTAGGATTAGAACAAGCATTTTCAATGGTGGCAAAAAAATACAAGTGTCTCAAGGAAGAACAAACAGAACTGCACATGGATAGTTCTCAATTAGGGTCCCTTTTAGGGTCCATCTTACATGGGTGCCGTATTATTTTGGGGACCTAAACAAGGACCCTAATTTAGAGAATTGCCCTAATCCCTCAACCCTCCCTAAACCCTGAACCCTA